GTTGACTCCTGGTTGTGTTGACCTCCTGGTTGTGTTGACTCCTGGTTGTGTTGACACCTGGTTGTGTTACCTCCTGGGTGTGTTGACTCCTGGGTGTTTTACCTCCTGGTTGTGTTGACTCCTGGTTGTGTTGACACCTGGTTGTGTTACCTCCTGGGTGTGTTGACTCCTGGGTGTTTTACCTCCTGGTTGTGTTGACTCCTGGTTGTGTTGACACCTGGTTGTGTTGACTCCTGGGTGTGTTGACTCCTGGTTGTGTTGACTCTTGTGTGTCTGTGTCAGTGGTGTTCATGGGCAGTCAGGAGGACCCTGCAGACAACGGTCTGGAGGTCTTCCTGCAGGAACATGGAGGCAGTGCCAACGCCTCCACTGACTGTGAGAGGACCATCTTCCAGTTTGAGGTGCAGAGGCAGGTGTTCAGAGAGGCTCTGTACAGGTGAGCTGACAACCTTCTGGTTTCCACTCTAGGCTCAGGTGAAGCTCTCAGGTGACGGTGTGGTCTCTGTTTCCAGGTGGGCTCAGTTCTTCGTCTGTCCTCTGTTGAGTGAGAATGCAGTGGACAGGGAGGTGGAGGCTGTGGACAGTGGTGAGTCCTCCARCTGTTTTATTGTTGACGTCCTTCAGGTGCAGCTCCACCTGTGCTACCTGTCGTCTCCTCAGAGTTCCAGCTGGCCAGGCCGTCTGACTCTCATCGTAAGGAGGCCTTGTTTGGGAGTTTGGCCAAACCAGGACACCCTATGGGCAAATTCTTCTGTGGTGAGCAGGACAGACCCTGAGAGAACAGGAACCACACAAACACAAACAGCTGTCCTGTCTGAACGTTGGACCTGAACCTGCCGATCAGGTGTMCTGAATCTCTCTCTACAGGTAACGCTCAGACGTTAAAACATGAGCCCAAAGACAAACACATCAACACCTACGAGAGGCTGAAGGACTTCTGGAGGAGATACTACTCTGCTCACTACATGACTCTCACTGTTCAGTCCACAGGTAGGCAGGACTGTCCCCACCTCACCTGTTGTCCTACCTGAATCTGCTCTTTTTCTGTAGAAACCCTGGACACTCTGGAGGAGTGGGTGAGAGAAATCTTCATTAAGATTCCCAACAAGTAAGCCTGTGAAAGATCAATATTTTTACTGTTTTCCTTCGTTACATAAGTATTTATTTTATTTCTCACCTGTGTTTTCAGTAACGAACCTCCACCTGACTTCTGTCACCTGCAGCAGCCGTTTGATACACCTGTTTTCAACAAACTCTACAGAGGTCACTTTTTAATCTTATCGTTGGTTTGGAGACATCTTTAGTTATTTTGAGCTTATTTTAAACAACCACATGGACTGTTTTCTTCTCTGTGTTCATGTTCCATCGTTGAAAACATGATCCGATGATCAGTGGTTCCAGTGAGAAAGGTTCATTCTCTGACCATCAACTGGGCCGTTCCCCCACAGGGGAAACACTACAGGTGAGCCTGATCCACAGACCGCTTTAAAACCATCAGCAGGTAAAACAGAGAAAACTATAGTCATTCCACTTCTGATCCCAAACACTCTGATCCCAAACACTCTGATCACCAAACACTCTGATCCCAAACAATCTGATCCCAAACACTCTGATCACCAAACAATCTGATCCAAAACACTCTGATCCAAAACACTCTGATCCAAAACACTCTGATCCCAAAAACTGATCCCAAACACTCTGATCCCAAGCACTCTGATCCCAATGTAGGGGTCACCTCGAGTGAAGAAACAGGAATTACTGCCTGAAAGCAGGTCTCGCACAGGCCTGAGAGCACACAAACTGGCAGGAACGCTGGACTTTAGGCCATGATGGGTCATTTCATGATTCAGAATGTTTACGCATTTGTTAATCATAATAACGACATGTCACAAAGAATATAGAATCACTTCTATTATTTTATCG